ATTTGGAGAGGTTCAGGGTTTGGCCAGTGTTTGGGGTGTGGGCAGAATTCGCAGCATGTTCTAGGGGGGGTATGATTGGGGCGGACATACAGAAGGCGCCTCCGCTGTTGGAAGATGGGCTGGCGGCTTACCTGCAGGAGGAAGCGTGAGTGCTGTGTGCAGGGCTACGTTGGCAGATACGAGTATCGCGTATAATACGCTAGCGTATTATACGCTGGGTATATACGCGGTACGCTAGGGGTGGCGTACTTGTAATACGTAAAAATTCGCTGGGCGGGCAGGTAAAACTTTTTCCCGGGCAGGGCTAAAAAAAACCTGTTCATGAGGAAAAACGGGAGAAGAGAGCTACGGGAATGAAAACGACTAAGGAAACTGAATGAGCAGACGAGTTGCTGAACAACATTTGAGAGGGATGGTTGGAGATGAGAGGTTTGGTGGGGTGGTGTGTGGTTGGGGTGGTGGGAGGTTTGGAGCTCAAAATTTGAATTTCAGAAGTGGGTTGGGCGATGTGCGACTTTGCGGTAACAAATCGCGAAGTCGCAAAACATTCGCGAAATTTTTCAATTTCGATTTTTTTTTTCCGGTGGGCTGCCCGGGCGTATTTCCAAGAAATACGAGCGTATTAGCGTATCACGTATATACGCAAGCGTATATACGTGGTACGCAACCCTGCCCAAGGCGTATCTGCCAACGTAGGTGCAGGGTTCGGGCTTGGTGCATTGGGCGGGTTTGTGGGGTACTGAACGGAATTGGGTTGGTTATTATATGGACTGGATTTGCTTCGAGACGGACATTGGGAAGGCGCCTCCCTTGTCGGAAGATGGGCTGGCGGCCTACCTGCAGGAGGAAGCGTGAGTGGTGGGCAGGATTTGGTCTTTGGGCAGTGTTTCAGGTAGAGATGGGGTTGGGGTTTGGACCTGAGGTGGTTCATATTTGCACCGCATCCCCATCCCTCGGCCTTCAACCCTAAAATCTTGAACCTCGTTAAACCCTGTTGAACCCCCTTAAACCCTCTTAAACTCTGCCAAAATCCCCAGGCGTGAGATTCGAGAGGAGATTCGGCACGAGAACGAGGCAGCGTTTGCATACACCTTCTTAGACACGGTTGGATGGCTCATCTTTGCACCTGCTCATCCTCATTACATCAACCTTCAACCCTAACATTTTGAACCCTGTTCAACCCCATCCAACCCCGCTGAAACTTTTAGGCGTGAGATGCGGGAGGAGATCCGGCACGAGAACGAGCCGGCCTTCGCATACATCTTCTCAGGCACGGTCGGGTGGCTCATCTTTGCAGCTGCTCATCTCCATCCCTCGACTTTCCCATCCCTCGGCCTTCAACCTTGAAATCCTGTAACCCTGCCAATCCCTGTTGGATCCCATCCAACCCTGTTGAACCTCGCAGGCGTGAGATGCGGGAGGAGATTCGGCATGAGAACGAGGCGGCGTTTGCATACATCTTCTCAGACACGGTCGGGTGGCTCATCTTCGCGTTCATCCTGTACTCGAATCCGAGCCAAGTGGGCATCATGAAGCTCACAGGCGATCGCATCTTCACCAACATCTCTGACACCGGAAAGGCGTTTGTGATCATCCTCTGCTCCGACATCTTCCTGGGGTGAGCGTGATGGGGGAAAGGGATAGGGGAAGGGGGAGAGGGGAAGAGGGGGGATGGGGAGAGGGGAAGAGGGGGGGTGGGGAGAGGGGGAATGCGGGAGAGGGGGAATGCGGGAGAGGGGTATCTGACTGCAGTCATCCTCTGCTTCTTTCGGGTACGGTGGGTGGGGTCATCGTGGCGTTTATTCTGTACGTGAGCCAAAGGCAAGTGGGCATCATGAAGCTCACAAGCCACAACGGGCTGGCGGTTTATCATTCCGTTTTCCTCGTACTCATTGCATTTGGCTACCCTGATCCCCTATCTCCCACTAAACCCCTTGATTTCTCAGGTACCACTCAGAGTCGGGCTGGGACACAGTCGTTGAGATGTTTCTGGACCACTATGGGCTGGTGGCGGGTCAGAACTCAATCCACATTCCCTCACATCACCTTTCTATTCCTCTCACTTCTGCTCGTACCTTCTGTGTCTCTGCAGGTACCATTCGGAGTCCGGGTGAGAGACGGTGGTGGAGATGTTTCTCGACCACTATGGGCTGGTGGCGGATCATAGCCCCATCTACATCTCCTCAAACCGCACTGCTATCCTTGTGACCACTGCTTATCCCCCTTGAATCATGCAGGTACCATTCGGAGTCCGGGTGGGAGACGGTGGTGGAGATGTTTCTCGACCACTACGGGCTGGTGGCGGATCAGAACTCGATCTACATCTTCGTGGCCATCGTGCCCGTCACCATCGACTCTTTTTTCAAGCTCTGGGTAAGACCCATGGATTCATTGCATCTGGTCATAGGCTCTTCAATTCGTTGAATCTAGCCATCTTTGTGGCCATTGTGCCCGTCTCCTTCTTCAAGCTCTGGGTACTGTTTTTTTTTTATCATCCAATCTACATCTGCCAGCCATTTTCCCTCTCACCATCCTTTGTCAAGCTCTGAGTACGACTCTCACATGCCCTCCTCCTGCTCTCCCCTCTCTCTTCTCAACCAGCTGTTCCCCATGTCTTGCTGCCACTACTTCTGGATGAAATGGATACGACTAATGTTTACTATTTTTGCGGTGTATCGCTGGATGAAATGGATATGGTATCATGGGATTGAGCGACACTTTTTCGGCATTAGTTGCATCGCCTGAAAGAATGCTTTGGACTCTTGCTCGTTCCTTCCCTTTTCTCCTCTCCCCTTGCAACCCAGGTATTCAGGTACCTTGTGAGTTTGTCCCCCCTGGCTGCTGCCACTTTCCACCCACTCTTCACACTCTCATATTGTCTTGCTCATTCCTCTACTTCTCTTCCTTCCCCCCCTTTCCAATTCCAACCCACCAGGTGTTCAAGTACCTCATCCGTCTGTCTCCCTCTGCTGCTGCCACCTTCCGCGAAATGAAGCGTCATTAGGCCTGCTGCTATTGCTAATCGTTCATCTAGCCCTGCTGCTGCCCTTACTCCTGCTGCTGCGCACTAGCCCCTGCCACTTTGCTCCTTCGCGCTTAGCTTGCCATCTTCAACAGGTGTAGGCTGTTCTGGTGCCATGCTACCTCCTGCGCGCTTAGCTTGCTAGGTATAGGCTGTTCTGGGGTCATTGCTGTATCATGGATTCATGTAATGCTAGATGCACCGCGGTTCTGTTAAGGTTTTGATGCAACTTACAAAAGAAGAAGTTATATGATGTGAGAGGTGTTTCAAAGTGGTCCAGATTAGGATGGATCACTGCCTATCATGTGTTATTTGTGCCATGTACAATAATACCAGTACAATGGTTGGACAGGTTATGTAATCCAACCGGAGTGTGATGTATCAACGGCATCATTCCTCGATACAAGAACGTCAAATATCTCAATACAGTCCGACGCCCTCCAATCGTTATCCATCGTGCTGCCTGACCGATCGACCAAAGCCAATCACGTTTCTTCGCGCCGCTTTTGTGCCACACACGCACCAGTCCCCCCCACTTTCCCTACTGGCAGTGTTGCTTTTTTTCGAGGTTTGCCCATCCAACCCAACCAAAAGACAAGATCGTGAACCCAGTTTGACTGGGTGCACGTACTTGTTTTCGCCTCAGAACCGTCTACAACCGCTCTAGAAACGGAATGAACTGCTATGACCGCGAGAAACCATTTAAAACACCGTACGTAACTGCTCTTGAATGGGCTCTGGGATCTGTGATCCCTAGGAAACCATTCCCTAAGTATTATCATTTTCCCTAACCATCCAACTTCCTATACCACCATACCTCAGTTCTCTGCCGCACGCTTGTAAGCAGGCAACTAGGGAGGCAGCCTTACGAGGGCATGGAGATGTGTCCTCCGAAACGAGTCTGCGCGTCGCCTTCTCTTCCCGCGTCGTCGATTATGTCGAGGAACGAGGCGTTTCTCGAAACGCTGCTGCTCAAGGACTTCACTGTCGTGACGAGGCAGTAGTACTCCACGTGCCTTGATTATTTATTTTCATTGTTTTACTCAGCTCCAATAAGCTAAGCTTCAGTAGTCCGATTCGTTCCCAGAAAACCACGAGGAGGGTTACGTTTGAGCGATACAGCGACATGCTACAAGTTCAGCACAACTGCAAGGAAGCCTCCTCGTCGTGCTAACTTATCGCAGATTCGGCGTCGTCGTGTGTCTGCGTTTCATTTTGTGTGTGTGTGTTTTGTCTTCTTTCCTTGGTTCCCGCGAACCTACTCGTTTCCGTGTTGTTTCTGGGCGGGATACATTCGTTTATCGGCATGGCGACGCAAACACACCTCCGCCTGCATCCTCCCTCTCTCCGCCGCTTTGCTCAGCCCATCGCGACGACCACACAGCAAAGCCATCCGCGAACGGTCGCAAGAACCCAGTACATCCCAACTGCAGCAAGCGAGCACTGCAGTTGCTATGCCGTGTCGCTCACATCTGATTTACTTCCAAGTCCATTCCCCAGACCACCTCCCGCTCCTTCCTGCGGAATGTCCCTCCGGCTGACCCCTAGAATATCCTCCAAACTATCCTCTAGACTCTCCCCCAGACTTTCCCAAGCGCTCACCCCCAGGTTGTCCCCTGCACCTTCCTCCAAACATGCGACAATAATTGAGAGTCATTGGAGCGTGACTGAGAACTCGTCTGAGTCGTCCCAGAAGCGGGACCGTTCAAGCGTGGTTCCACGCGCCTCAAACAACGGTAACATTGCCGGTCCCGCGGCGCGGGAGGTTGATTCGATTCGGAAGGAGATCTCGGATCTGATCACATCCATCCAATGGCTGCAGAAGAAGATCAATTCGGACGGCCGTCAGACGGCCAACGGTAACTTTGACGGTGACGGGACGCAGGTGCACACAGTGTACGGGTCGAACCTGCGGCCGGCGACGGAGATAAGGGGTCGCATTGAGCGACTATTGGAGCGAGCCGTGTCGCTCAAAGCCATGGCGGGCCGAAGCTCTTCAAGCTCGCGGCGCGTGCCAGTACAAGTGACGGCCACTCTTAAAGTAAGTCGTCTCTCGTTCGTTGTAAGGTATGCAACCTTCAGCTCAATGCTGTGGCTGAGACGAAGCTCCTCAAGCACCGCACTTCGCCCCTTTTAACCCCTTCTCACCCCTTCTCACTCCTCACCGAAATTCATCCACCCCTTCTTCCCTCCCGGTCCGTGCAGCGCGAGTACTGCTCGCTTTTCAACATCGTGCGTCTCTCCATCCATCCCTCTTCCCCACCCATTCTCATCCCTTTCCACCCCTTCTCACCTCTCCTCACCCCTTCTCACCCCTTCTTTGCCCCCCCCAGTCCCTGCAGCGCGAGTACGGCTCGCTGTACAACATCGTGCGTCTCTATCCCACTTTCCCACCCTAGTCAATCTCAGCCCAAGTGACCCCATTCCGCCCCTTCTCACCCCCCATAACCCCATCTAACCCCCTATTCTCTCGTCTTCCCCTCCCCAGTCCCTGCAGCGCGAGTACGGTTCGCTGTACAACATCGTGCGTCTCTCCATCCGCACGGACCTGCCAGACATGCCGCCGTCCGGCCCCTTGTCACCCCTTGTCACCCCTTGTCACCCCATGTTACCCCATGTCAACCCTTGTCACCCCTTGTCACCCATCCCTACCAGTCTCTACAGCGCGAGTACGGATCGCTGTACAACATCGTGCGTCTCTCCATCCGCACGGACCTGCCAGACATGCCGCCATCCGGCCTCTTCGACGAGCCCATGGACGACCCTGCCGAGACCCTCGCAGCACAAGCTGCAGCGGACGCGGCAGCAGGGGGGTTGGAGGAAGGGGTGGAGGCGGCAGGACGGCCGTTGGATGCTGCGTTGGCGTACTCGTATGATGCCCAGGTGCGGCTGTGAGTGGGAAATGCGGGTTTGGGGGTTTTGCAGCAGGGGGGTTGGAGGAAGGGGCGGAGACGGCAGGTCGGCCGTTGGATGCAGCATTAGCGTACTCGAATGATGCCCAGGTGCGGTTGTGTGTGGAGAATTTTGAGACGTCTCAAAACTCAACTTCTATCAATTAGCGTGCTCGTATGATGCCCAGGTGCAATCGTGTGTGGAGAATGCGGATGTTGAAGTTATGCTTCGCTTTTCGCTTTATGATGTACAATACAAAGAAAATGAGCCGGATGTTGATTTGTTTGTGCAGAACAAGCACTAGTGGTCTTTCCCTCCTCACTCCCTTCCTCTCCTCCCTCACTCACACTTCACATTCGCTTACCATGCACTCCAATGGTGCAATCACCCTCCCCTCCTCCCCACCCACCCCTCCCCTCCTCCCCACCCACCCCTCCCCTCACTGCCACCCTCCCCACCCCCCCTTTTCCACACCCCCCGTCACTGCGTGTCTGCGTTCTCTTCACAGAGGGACTCTGCTGCTGCGCTGGGGTCGATGCTGGAGATCCAACAGAGGGTGCAGCAACAGGTGTGCATTCACTCATGAATGGATACTTGCATGGTTGTGTGCATGGGTAGAGAGATCACTGAATACACTTCTTGTCACTCAGAGAGACTCTGCTACTGTGCTGGGGTCGATGCTGGAGACACAACAGAAGGTGCAGTAACAGGTGCGTGCGTGGTGTGTAAGTGTGTGAATGGTGGCAGATATTATCTACCATGAGTGCTGCTGGGTCCACCCACGGTACTCACTCCACCTCCCCACACGCGCAACCTCCACAGCACACCATCAAATCTCAAAACAATCTCAACAGAATCTTAAAAGAATCTCATGTATCCCCTTCAATCTCATCCGCCCTCTCTCCCCTCCCTCCACAGATATCAGCCATGAGTGTTGCTGGGTCCGCCAACGCACTCAACTCCACCTCCTCAGCACAACCAACAACCTCCTCCAACCCCTCACCACATGAATCCTCCACAGTTGTAAACCCCCCATTGTTTTCATCCATCCCCTCTCCCCTCCCTCCACAGATATCAGCCATGAGTGCTGCAGGGTCCGCCCTCGGACCTCACTCCACCTCCCCATCGCAACCAACCGCCTCCAACCCCTCCAACCCCTCAGCACATTCCTCCCAGCCGGCAATACCATCCTCTACAGCCGCTACAGCCGCAGCAGCGGCGTCTGTAGCGGCAGCAGGCGGCGGCAGCAGCCCCTTTGCGAGCCTGTGGAAGAACATGGCCTCTCAACTCTCCCGCGCTTTTGAAACGCTGCTGCCTCCCCCCTCGCCTGATGATGCTCCCTTGGGAGGAAGCACTGGGGCTGGGGGGATAGCTGCTCGGACAGCGGCAGGGGCAGCAGGGGCATCAGGGGCAGCAGGGGCGGCAGGAGCGGCAGGGATAGAAGCAGGGGCAGCAGCGGCGGCTCTGACTGGGATTGGAGGAGGTGCAGTAGCAGGAGCAGGAGGGGTGGGTTTGGTTGTGGGTGAGAGCGGAGTGGCCGCAGTGGAGGAGGCGTGGGGGGGAAACGTGCAGTCTGGGAGCAACGGTGTCATTGATATCACAGTAAGTGGTGTCATTGAGAGCAGGAGGGGTGGGGCTGGTTGTGGGTGAGAGCGGAGTGGCAGCAGTGGAGGCTTGGGAGGGGAATGCACACTCGGGCGGCAGTGGCGTCATTGATATCACTGTATGTGCTTATCTGCCTCTCCCGCCTTATGTGCTCCTTCACACCTCTCTCGCCTTTCCCTCCCCTTTACCTCGGCTCTCTCTCTCCTCTCCTTCGCCCCTCCCTCACCCCTCTCTCGCTCCTCCCTCGCCTTTTTGGTGTCTCTCTTCACGTGACGCTGGTTTTTCAACGCCCCTCATTTATTTTCTAGCTTGCCTTGCTCTTACACACACTTTTATTTTTTCCCTTACACTCGTCTCTTTTCCCTCCCTCTTGTTTCTCTTCCCCCTCCTACTCAACCCCCCTGCAGCCGCAAGCCCCCCTGGCAGGAGCGCAGAGCAGCCTAGTTCGGCTGGCGGGGGAGGTGCGATCTAACGACGCTCTTATCTCGTCAGTCAACCGTGAAATGGAGGAGGAGCGGCAGCGGCTGCTGAACAAGGTACTGTAGACATGGTAACATGGTAACCAGAGAGCAACAGAGGCTGGTAACATGGTAACCAGAGAGCAACCGAGGCTGTTAACATGGTAACACTGTGGGGGAGGTGCAATCTGAGGACGCTCTTATCTCGTCAGTCAACCGTGAAATGGAGGAGGAGCGGCAGCGGCTGCTGAACAAGGTTGTGTAACTTGGTAACATGGTAACCAGGTGCAATCGGTGGCACAGGATGTGCAGCAGCGAGTGACGGTGGGAGATATGGAGGCCGTGGTGGTGGTGAAGGCTAATTCTTGATCCATGTTCTTGCTCTCCGCTCTTGTTCCTCCCATCCCACCCCCCCAAACTCCATCCCTCCGTGCAGGCGTGGTGGCACAGGAGGTGCAGCAGCGAGCGACGGTGGGAGATATGGAGGCCGTGGTGGGGGACGGCTGACCTCGCTCTGTCCCTTGCTCATCCTGTCCCATCCCACCGCACTCCACCCCACCCCACCCCACCCCACCGCACCCCACCCCTCCATGCAGGCGCAATCGGTGGCACAGGAGGTGCAGCAGCGAGTGACGGTGGGGGATATGGAGGCCGTGGTGGGGGACGCCTGACCTCATCCTGTCCCATCCCACCGCACTCCACCCCACCCCACCCCACCCCACCGCACCCCACCCCTCCGTGCAGGCGCAATCGGTGGCACAGGAGGTGCAGCAGCGAGTGACGGTGGGGGATATGGAGGCCGTGGTGGGTGCAGCGGTAGAGACGATGCAATCGGAACTGCAGGCAGCACAGCAGCGCACTCGCCAGCTTCTCATACAGGTGAGGCGTTCACAGTCAGTTTGCTTTTGTTGCAGTGGAGGTGATGCAATCAGAGGTGCAGGCAGCACAGCAGCGCACCCGACAACTCCTCATACAGGTGTGTGGCTCTTATAGTCACCTCGCTTTACTGTCACACACATATGAGGTTGTGCGATACGCTCTGCTGCAGGTGAGCTGAAGGATCGGGAGGTGTGGCTGAGGGGGGGCGAGGAGTGGGAGAAGGAACGGTCTTCCATGTCTACCCTGATGATGTAATCTATGCCGTGATCGCCTTTGTCTTATGAATCATGGTGCTGCTGCAGGTGGAGCTGAAGGATTGTGAAATGCCGTTGAGGCGCGAGGAGTGGGAGAAGGTCCGAAGGAACGGTCCTTGAGATGCCTCAGAGATTTTTGCTACACTCCTGCTGCCTTGTTCTAAGCCAATATCCTTTCCGTGTTGCCGAATTATTGTCGATCAGGTAGAGCTGAAGGATCGGGAGATGAGGCTGAGGGGCGAGGAGTGGGAGAAGCAACGGTCTTTCATGTCTGATGGTGTGACCTGTGCTGTGTTCCCCGTGTCCTCTGTTTCATGGTGCTGCTGCAGGTGGAGCTGAAGGATCGCGAGATGAGGCTGAGGCGCGAGGAGTGGGAGAAGGAACGGTCCTCCATGGTGGCCTCTCTGCAGCAGCTCGTACTCGCTAAAGGCGGATCCGTTAGCAGCGGCAGCAACAGCGTTGAGCACAGGGATGGGCTCGATAGAAACGGATCCAGTGGTGTGGACTCCAGCAGCAGCGCTCGAAGCAGCAACGGCAGGGCCATACACACACACTCATCCTCCTCCTCTTCTTCCTCCTCATCCTCCCCGGCAACCTCTCGAAGCAAAGCACAGCGATCGTCAGGATCAAGCACAGGCACAGCCACAGCCACAGCTACTCCCGAGCCCGACAGCACAGGAGACTCTATCATGCGTCTGCTTGCCCTCCAGGCAGCTGTTTCCCGCGCAGAAGAAGCTGAGCTGGCAACCGCTGCCCGGCTGGAGCGTGTGGCGGACGTGCTCGGGCGGGAGATCGCCAAATTGCGGCGCGACAAACGGGCCCTGGAGTCCCGCGCGCAGCTGCTGACGTGGCGGCTCGAGGCGGTGCATGCCAAGCTGGCGGCGGTGTTTGGGGAGCTGGTGGGGGTGAGGGAGGCGATGAGTGAGGGGAGGGTGGAAGAGGGAATGGCGATTTTGGAAGGGGTGATTGGGGAGGTGGGGAGGTGGACTAGTAACACTGCTATGGAGCAAGGTGGACAGGGAATGGGAGGAGAGAGAGGAGGAGTGAGTGGGGAGGAGGGGAGGAGCGATGGGGAGGTGGTGGCGGGGTGGTGGGATGACTCACCTCCTGGGGAGTGGGCGGAGTTTGGGAAGAGTGAAAATGAATTGGAGAGCGGGGGTGGGTTGGACGAGGAGAGGAGGAAGGAGGAGAGGAGGAGGGAGGAGCTGATGGCTCTGGTGGGGGTGGATGGGGAGGAGGGGGGGGCGGGTGGGGAAGGGGTGATTACAGTGTTCTATGAGACTGGGTGGGAGCAGGCATTCATTCACCACAGTGGAACAGCTTCAGGGTGAGTTGAGTTTTGCGGTCAACAGTTGGGGATTTTGTGTCGACGCTCTCAACCAACTGTCGGATTCATGCGTCCTACTTACTGCTAGAAATTTGCCGGATTCATGCAGCTGGTGGTCTGCCGACCTACTCCCGGCGGGAGGATGAAGGACTTTATTGTCCTGGCTGCTAAAATCTTGCTGGATTTATCGCAGCTGTCCTATCCCCGGCTGGAGGATGAAGGACTTAACTGTCCTGGCTGCCGCATCTGCCTCCCCTCGCTCTGCCTGCTGCCGCTGCCTCTGCCTCTCCCCCTGACCCCGCCTCCTCTCTCCCGGCAGTTGGACTGCTGCCCTGGCATGAGGATGAAGGACTCTCTACTGCCAGGAAACCCTGTGTTGCCAATGAGACTCTCTCTCTCTTTTCTTCTCCTCTTTCCCAGCAGTTGGACTGCTGTACCCGGTGTGAGGATGAAGGACTCTACTGCCAAGGGGCTGGCCGGCTTTCCTCCTGCCACTGTCCCTGTTGCCCTTGTGGAAAATCCTCACTTACTGTGCTCACCCTTCTGTCTCTCTCCCCCTGTCCCCTCCCTCTCCCCCTGCAGTTGGACTGCTGTGCCTGGTGTGAGAATGAAGGACTCTACTGCCAAGGGACCGGCTGGCTTTCCTCTCAAGGTGCCTCCCTTGTTGCCTTTCGGGATTCCTTGTTGGGGTGGTTTCAGTCGTTCTGCTTCATGCCTGCTCTTGGGGGTTTTCTGTGTAGACCAGGTGCATAGTACACCACTAGGATTCAATACCTTACAGGTATGTCTTTTGAGGCGCCTCAAAAGTCGCCTGCTCCTGGGGTTTTCTTAGTAGACCAAGCCAGGTGCATAGTACACCACTAGGATTCAATACCTAACAGGTCTGTCATTGAGTTGACAATTAAGTCATCTCAAGAAGACAAAGAGGAATTAAAGGATCTTGTTGCATCTTCCAGTTTTTTTTTTGTTTTTCCTCATCCTCATGTTGTCCCCCTGAGTTTCAGTCCCCTTTGTTCCCCCTTCCCCATTTCCCTCCCTTCTTCTTCCGCTTCCCTCCCCTTCACCTGCTGGGTCCCGAACTGGGTGAGATGCGAGCTGTATTTCTCTGCCTCCCATTACTCACACCACCTTCTTTCCTACTTTCTTCCCCTTTCCCCCCCTTCCTGACCCTTCTCCTTCCTTCTCCATCTTTTCTCCCTCCCTCTCATGCTGGGGTGTTTTCACTGCCCCCCCCTATGCTCCAGGTGTACTCCATAAGAGCATCCTCGCTTGAGTTTGTGACCAACAATGGGGCAGCTACATGGGACAGGTAAGGGAGGCCAAGAAGGAAGGGGGAGGCAAGGGGAGGAGTGGAAGAGAGATGAGGGGAAGGGTAGGGGTGGTGGAGTGAAGAGGCAAAATCTTGAATGTGGGCATTGCAAAAACGTGGGTGTCTGTCTCCTATGCTCCGTCGACCACGCCATCTTTTGTGACTCGTTTTCTGTGTGCGTGCATGCTTTGTACAGTTCCCCGAGTGGTGGAAACTACACCATCGAACGCCCAGGTTGCTTCGTCCTGTCATCTGGACGTTTAACAGAGTTCAAGTGAACCATTTTTTCATTGGGGGTGGTGGTATCTATGCATTTGTAAGCGTTTTGTGCCCATTTGCATGCTTGTTAGTTTGTGGGTGCCCACTCAGCTTGTCTGAATTCTAGATTTATCACATTTGTTTATGTGTGATAAAAGATAGTTGTACCAGAAGTAACAACAAAACGCGATACAGACGTGTTATGGATTGCAAATCAGGCTGTCAATCCATCTTGTGCAAAAAACTCGCGGGAATCCGCACTTCCTGACCTCTGACGCTTTCCTCACGTGTCCGAGGCTCCGAGCAGGCTTTGCTAGACCCGGGACTTCAATGTGGTTCGACACATGCCTAGAGGTCAGGTAGGGTGATGTGATACAGGCTGTAGTCTTGAGATTTGGGTCTGGTTTCGGTATTGGTTAGGCTCGGAGAAGCCAAGGTGCACTATGGTTCGACTGGCCAGGCTAAACTTTTTCCTTCCAAGCCTGTGTGCCGACTTTCAGACCTTTTTCATCCTGGCAGGCAACCAGTTACGACTGTGGTTGTATGCTTTGCTTCAGTGTACTTCCAACCAAATCCTGGCCAGCAACGTGTTCGCCTAGAATTCATCCCTTGTAAAAAAATCCATGGAGTTATCTAGGATCCTAGACTTGTGATCACAGAACATTTGGACGAACCTAGAGAAGCGAGGTGAGCGACAGGTATTGAGGCAGACTAGAGGTTCTGTTAGGAAGTTCCAATACGGGCGTGTCATTTCGTCGCGGTTCAGGGAGGTGCTCTGCGTTATAGAGCAGCCGATCTAGAGAATCTTACAACAGGGTTGAGTAGGGATATTCAACGAAAACCAACGTTACGACACGCCCTAAAAGTGACATAGGATTGTAGAAGAAGCACTCGTAGGGTCGGCTTGAATTCCCTTCTGCGAGCGTTGTTTAGTGACCCTTACTTGGCATCGTCCTCCTCAGTGACTGTTCGTCACTAAAGACGTTTGCACGCTTTAGTGCCGTGGGTGGTCCTTTTTTAGTTTCCGTGAGGAGCTTTTCTGACATATGTACCAGCCTGATCTCGTAAGTTGTCGGTTGCTGGCAAGTTATTATCGAGCATCGCACGCCCCTGGTTACAGTTTACCACCTAGCTTAGACTTCCTGTTCCATTGTTCATGAATACTAATGTAATGCTTAGTCCCTGTACCATTTAAAGTCCCCGGAAAACTTTTAGCCCCTGCAGTATCCTAATCCGAAATGGCTCGCTCGGAGATCGAGATCGACAGCCTTGTATCTGATTCCAGAGACCTCAGTTCTGCCGGAAAAGACCAGACAGACTCAAACAAACGACAAACAGAAGTAGAGCTGCAACGACAGCACCAGAACCAAAACCCGAACCAGAACTCGAGCCAGAATCCGAACCAGACGCAGCGGTCGGGAGCGGAGCAGGCAGGCGGCGAAGGAGGGGAGGATGATGAGCGGAGCAAAGAGGACGTGTTTACGGCTGCGGCTTACGGCGACCTGGGGAAGCTGAGACGGCTGGTGGAAGAGGAAGGTCACTCCATCCATGCCACTGATGGCGGCGGATACTCCGCGCTACAGTGGAGCGCGCTTAATAACAAACCCGTTATAGCGACGTACCTTCTCGATGTGAGTGATTCTATCATCTATGTGCACGGGGTGAATTTCAACGTGAATCTTCATTCCTGTACGTTTTTTTGTTTGTATTCGTGGTACAGTCGTGTTTATATCTGTCTTTGAGGCGACTCGAGAAAGGCCACGCGATTTGCGTTATCATCAGCGTTACAAGTCACTTGGGTTAGTTGGCTCACCTCTTTCCTCGCATTTTCTGTTTTCCCGAGCGAAAACCGAACAAGTAATGCGAATCTAAACGGTCTGGTCATTTGGTCCGCGAAGTCCTTGTGTGGCTCCCCCTCTCCCGCACCACCCTACCCTTTCCCTTGCATTGCGATCCCCCCAAACGAAGAAAGGAGCGGACGTGAACGCCAAGGATAGGTCGGGGCAGACAGCGTTGCACTGGGCGGCAGTGCGAGGTGGCATCGCTGTTGCTGACGTGTTGCTGCAACGTGGCGCTGACGTGGAGGTTGCGGATTCACACGGCTACAGAGTAAGTATGCATTATAACCCTACACCATAGGGTTACACGGTAGGCATGGGGGAAGGGGGGGTGGTGGTGGGGGGAGGTCGGGGGGAGGGTGTATGGAGCAAGCGAAAACGTGGAACAATATTTATCAGCGACACTTAATATAGAATCTACGGTTCTCTTCTTCTTTTAACTGGTTTTGGATGATGCGGCTCTGTTCATCTGACACTTCCCTTCAGGCGGACTTCTTGATTACCCTGCCGGTGTACCCTAAGCCATCCCCACCCCTCCAACCACCTCCCCCTTCCGCCCTTCTCCTCTCCCCCGCCCTTTCTCTCACTCCCGCCCCCCTCGGCTCTCTACCATTCAGACCACACACGTGGCAGCACAGTACAGGCAGGCTGCGTTCCTATACCACATAGTGGCCACGTGGGGGGCCTTTGCTGATACAAACTCACTGCCCCCCTCTCCCTTCCCCCCCCGTGCTACCCCTCCTCCTTTTCTTGCTCTCTACCATTCAGACCACACACGTGGCAGCGCAGTACGGGCAGATGGCGTTCCTATACCACATTGTGGCCACGTGGGGGGGTTGGCTGATGTAATCGCAGGGCCCCCACTTCCTTTCCCCCCATACCCACACTTTTCCACTCTTCCTCTTGCTGTCTACCTCTGCAGACCACACACGTGGCAGCACAGTACGGGCAGACGGCCTTCCTATACCACATCGTGGCCACGTGGGGGGGCTTGGCTGATACCACTGACAACGACGGTCGCACCCCGCTGCACTGGTGGGTTATTGAGTCTGTGTCTATGTGTGTGCGTTGAAGAAACACAGAAAAGGAGAAAACACTGATAGCACCGTGTCTGTGTGTGTGTGTGTGTGTGTGTGTGTGTCTAAAAATGTCAGAAAACACTGTGGCGGAGGGGAAACGGGGGATGTCTGGCTGAATGCACTGATAGCGCGTGCCTCTTGTTCTCTTTGTCACTTCCCTGGACTGCCTCGGTGGGTGTTGCGGATCCCATCCGGTTTTCTCCGGTTGCAATGCTGTCTCTCGCGCTCTAACAAGCATGAGTTTTGTTGTAAGGGTTGTCCCTTATCACTCATTCTCTCCGCCGTTCCATTCCCCCCGTGTTTCTCCCCTGTAATCCTTCCCAGGGCGGCCTATAAAGGCTTTGCGGACCCCATCCGTCTGCTTCTCTTCTGTGACGCGTACCTCTCCCGCCCCGACAAGGAGGGTTGCACACCCCTGCACTGGGCGGCAATCCGAGGGAATCTCGATGCGGTTACCCTATTGGTCCAGGCTGGCAGCAAGGACGATCTGATTGCCACGGACTCCACTGGGAGCATGCCAGCTCAGCTCGCAAGCGATAAGGGCCACCGCCACGTGGCGCTTTTCCTGGTGAGGTGGATGGTGTGACTAGCTGACGTGGCACTGACATATGGCGCTGTTTGTGGTGAGGTGGTTGATGTGGTGGGCATGGATTGGATGTGTCTGTGCTGTCTCAAGTAGCACTGGTTTTTCTGCTGAAGGCTATGTTCCTTGTCCCTGTCCTTTCCTGTCCTTTCCTGTCTCTTTCCTGTCTCTTTCCTGTCTCTTTCCTTCCCGCAGTCAAATGCGCGCAAGGTGTTTGATGCACGGCACGACACCAAGGGGCTGGCAGGCAAGATGGCGAGATACGGCCTGGCACCCGTGCTCTGGGCTGTCATCATCGGGCTGCTCATCGGCTTCACAAACGCTGTCGTCTTCTGTAAGTGCCTCGTGTGTGCATGCTGCCGTGCCTCATGCTCACATCACATGCTGCCACCCCTGTCATGGAAAGTGTGAAGTATGGTCTCGCGCATGCTCTCAGGGCGGTTTTTGAGGTCTCGCGCATGCTCTCAGGGCGGTTTTTGAGGTCTCGCGCATGCTCTCAGGGCGGTTTTTGAGGCGCCTTAGATGTGAGAAACGGCCTTGCATCCCCGCTCTGGGTCCGTATGGAACTGCTCATTGGCTTTACCAATGCTGTCGTTTTCAGTGAGTGCTTATCTCACTCAAGCACCTGTGCTTCACCTGTTCAGGTCAAGCACAGGCTGAACTGTCAGACGCAGACAGGTGGGCTGCGGAGGTCTTACTTCCATCAACTCGTATGGTTACGACGAGACAAACCCCATGGAATGGATGGAATTTTCCTGGTTAACTGTGAGCTTAGAGCGTTGTATCAGAGAGCCAGTTTAAACAAAACGTCAACGAGTGCTTATCTCACTCAAGCACCTGTGCTTCACCTGTTCAGGTCAAGCACAGACTGAACTGAACCACTGTGTTCCCTCTCGTCCACCCTCTTCCACCAACCAGCCACCTCGCTCTCTGTGATAACATCTGTGCCGGCCGGCACGTGTGAATTGCTGTATCCCCTTCCCCTCTCCCTCGTCTTGTTGCCTCCGTGCCTCCCCTCCAACCAGCCACCACGCTCCCGGTGATAACAGCGACCATGGCAGCATGGGCGTGGGCCGTCTTCATCTGTGCCGGCACTGGCATGTACTTTCTCTACCGCTCCTCCACGTACGTACCAACACCTCTGCTAATAACCCCCAGCTACATGGTATACCACGACCCCCTTGCTTTCATCTGTGCCGGCACTGGCATGTACTTTCTCTATCGCTCCTCCACGTACGTACCAACACCTTTGTTTAAAACCCCCAGCTACACGGTATACCATGACCCCCTTGTTGTCATCTGTGCTGGCACTGGCATGTACTTTCTCTATCGCTCCTCCACGTACGTACCAACACCTTTGTTTAAAACCCCCAGCTACACGGTATACCATGACCCCCTTGTTATCATCTGTGCCGGCACTGGCATGTACTTCCTCTATCGCTCCTCCACGTACGTACCCCCACCTCCCCACTCTGTACTTCCGCCTTGCAACTTATGTGCACCTGTCCACAGCCCTTTCCTCCTCCACCGTTTCCAAGGTGACTTTTGAGTCGACTCAAAAGTCACCTCGCCTTGCAACTTATGTGCACCTGTCCACAGCCCTTTCCTCCTCCACCGTTACCTCCCTTCCTCCGTTCATTCCCTCATGCTCTCACCCCCCCCTTCCCTGTTACAGCTGAGCTTCTTCATTCCCCCCGGTCTTTTCAACTGGTCTTCCCTCATTCCTTCACTTTTGAGGCGTCCCAAAGATAGCCTCTCTTTTTTTTTTAGAATTTCCAAAAAACAGATTGAGGCGCCCCAGATATAGCCTCCCCTTCCCTGTTACAGCCAATCTTCTCCATTCCCCTGGTCTTTTCAACTGGTCTTCTTTTGAGGCGCCTCGGAGGTCCTCCCCTTCCCACAGACGATCCAGGCTACGTGCATTCTGCTTTTGAGTCGACTCAAAAGTCACCTGGACTCAAAAGTGGACTCAGTTGACTTTTGAGTCGACTCAAAAGTCAACTCAAAAGTGGTCTCAAAAGGAGGTCCTCCCCTTCCCTCAGCTGATCCAGGCTACGTGCAGTCGCCACGGCTGCACTTCTCTCCTCTTCCTTTACGAACCCCACTTACTCCCCTTCACCCATTCTTACCCCCGTTTACCACCCCTTATTTCGTGTTATCCCTTGTACTACCTGTACCTGTGCTTCTCAGGCAAGATCCAGGCTATGTGCAATCGCCACGGCTGCATGGTTCTAAGAAGGAGCAGCAAGAGGTACAATGCTCTGAGGCTTGAGGGCTTGATGGCTTGATGGCTTGATGGGAAAGGATGCTTGTGTATTTCTTTCCTTCCACTTATCGCGTCAGATGGTGCCTTCTGAGATTTCTCAAAAGTAACACCGAGGATTCTCAAAATGAACACTGAGAATTCTCAAAAGTAACGCCTCAGAGGGCGGACTACATGCATCCAGGGCTGCAGTCGTGCTGTTGGGCATGCTCACTGCGTGACTTTTGAGTCGACTCTAAAGTCACCTCGTGCTGTTGGGCATGCTCACTGCGTGGTTGAATGTCTTCCTGTTGACTTTACCTCCCCTTCCACTCCCGTCACTGGCAGGAAATGGAACCACTGAAAGCGGGCTACATGGATCCAGGGCTGCAGTCGGGTTAATGGTCGCAGCTGTGTGCTGTTCACACCCCACCTGCTGACCTTCCCCCTTTGCAACCTCCCTGCAAACCCCCTGCGACCTCCTGCAAACCCTCTTTTTATGCCAGGAAATGGAACCACTGAAAGCGGACTACATGGATCCAGTGCTGCAGTCGGGCCAATGGTCTCAGCTGAGTGTTGTTCACACCTCAGCTTGTTGACCTTCCTCCCATCACATCCCAACCTATTAACCTTCCCTCCTACAACCTCCTCCACATCACACCAGGAAATGGAACCACTGAAAGCGGACTACATGGATCCAGTGCTGCAGTCGGGTCAATGGTCACAACTGTGTGTCACCTGCCGGGTACGTGCCGTGTGTCACCTGCTGGGTACGCGTCATGTGTCACCTGCCTGGACTTGCTGCCCCATATGTTGTTTTGATTACTCGTTGTTCTGTAGGGCCTATCCCCACCAACCCCGTGAAATGAGTGATGTTTTGAGACGTCTCAAAACCCCATATGTTGTTTTAATTACTCATTGTACTGTAGGGCCTACTCCCACCAACCCCTTGGCCCCGCTACTCTTGCACGCACTTTTCGAGGCGCCTCAAAAAACTTGCTGTCCCATATGTTGTTTGAAGTACTCATTGTTCTGTATGTAGGGCCTATCCCCACCAACCCCCTTGGCCCTGGCTACGCTACTTTTGCACGCACTCAACCCCACTCTCTCCACATACATCCTCATACACATGAAGACTCCTTTCCGCTCCCTGTTGTGTCTAATCGTTTCTTTCCTCTCTCCCTCCCATCTTGCCTCTCCCTGCTTTATTGAATTGTTTCTTTCCTTCACCAAATCGTGAGACCTCGGCGGTCGAAGCATTGTTCCATCTGCAACAAGTCACATGCCCTCCTCTCGCTCTTCTCCCTCTTCTCCTCGCTCTCTCTGATCATCTCCCCTCCAACAGATCGTGCGGCCAAGGCGGTCGAAGCATTGTTCCATCTGCAACAAGTCACATGCCCTCCTCTCGCTCTTCTCCCTCTTCTCCCTCTTCTCCTCGCTCTCTCTGATCATCTCCCCTCCAACAGATCGTGCGGCCAAGGCGGTCGAAGCATTGTTCCATCTGCAACAAGTCACATGCCCTCCTCTCGCTCTTCTCCCTCTTCTCCTCGCTCTCTCTGATCATCTCCCCTCCAACAGATCGTGCGGCCAAGGCGGTCGAAGCATTGTTCCATCTGCAACAAGTCACATGCCCTCCTCTCGCTCTTCTCCCTCTTCTCCTCGCTCTCTCTTATCATCTCCCCTCCAACAGATCGTGCGGCCAAGGCAGTCGAAGCATTGTTCCATCTGCAACAAGTCACATGCCCTCCTCTCGCTCTTCTCCCTCTTCTCCTCGCTCTCTCTGATCATCTCCCCTCCAACAGATCATGCGGCCAAGGCGGTCGAAGCATTGTTCCATCTGCAACACGTGTGTCACACAGTTCGACCACCATTGCCCCTGGATCTCCAACTGTGTGGGCAAGGTGAGCGGCCGTAGGGGTGAGGTGAGGCGGTGGGGCAAGGTGAGAGGCAGCGGTGTGAGCCAGGGAAGCTGTTTGGCCCCTGGATCTCCAACTGTGTTGGCAAGGTGAGAGGCGGTGGGGCAGTGGGGGCATGGCATGCATTTTAATAGCTTGACAGCCCATCAAATGGTATTTTTTCAAATGGCGTTGCTTAGTGCTTGAACCGTCACTTCCATTCCTTCCGCCCCCTCATTCCCTCCCGCCCTCGTTACCTTTATTCCTATCATCTTTACTGCATGGCAGCGCAACAAATGGCACTTCCTCATGATGCTCGTGCTTCAACCTTCTGGTTCCTTCCTTCCGCCCCCTCATTCTCTCCTCTTTCTCCTTCCCCACTCATCATTTTGCCTCTACCCCTGCGCGTGTTCCATCTGAATCACATGGCAGCGCAACAAGTGACATTTTCTCATGATGCTCGTGCTTCAACCTTCTCGTTCCTTCCTGCCACCTCATTCTCCTCTCTTCTTCTCCTCCCCCTCGTTTGCCTCTACTCCCATGCTCTGTCTGCTTTCACATGGCAGCGCAACAAGTGGCATTTCCTCATGATGCTCGTGCTTGAAATGGCCGCCATGATCATCGCCCTCTCCCTCGCCTTCGGCCGTGAGTCGCGTGCACCCTCCTCCTCTCCTTCCTCTCCTCTCTTATTCGCACACTCCCATTGTGTCACTGTCTCCCCCCTAGTTCATTTTCCCTGTCATTACTTGCCTTGTGTTGCAAATGAACTAGTCTTTACCTCTCTTGATCCATGGCACTCTCCTTCCACATCACTTTCTCCCCCTTCTCCCTTTCCCACCTTCCTGACCAGGCCTGATGAACCTGGAGGGAGCGCCAGCAGCAGGAGTGGGGTGGCTAGGCTATGTGACAAGGCACCACACAGGGGCGCTGATGTTCATCATCTTCCCATCCCCCACTACCCCCTTTCCTGCCTCACCAGGCCTGATGAACCTGGAGAGACGCCAGCAGCAGGAGCGGGGTGGCTGGGCTACGTGGCAATGCACCACACCGGGGCTGAATTGCTGTCCCCTCCGTTCTTTTCCCGCTTTTCTTCCACTCTCATTCTCGGCCTTCTCCCATCACCTCACCAGGCCTGATGAACTTGGAGGGAGCACCAGCAACAGGGGCGGGCGGGGTGGCTAGGCTAAGTGGCATCACACCACCACACAGGAGCTAACTTGCTGTCCCTCTCCCTTCCCCTCCCATATGTCCTTCCTTCCCCGTCTCCCCAACACAGGCCTGATGAACCTGGAAGGGGCGCCAGCAGCGGGGGTGGGGTGGCTGGGCTACGTGGCAATGCACCACACCGGAGCGCTGGTGTTCATAATCGCGGATGGCTTCATGCTGCTGTCCGTGCTGGGGCTTGTTGTGTCACAAGGCTCTCAGGTGGGTGAGAGCTGACCACTGAGGCTCTAGGTGTGTGGAGGTGTTCATCATACCACACCACACCACACCACACCACACCACACCGCACCGCACCACACTGGACCGCACTGCATCACACACGGAAGCGCTGGTGTTCATCATAGCGGATGGCGTCATGCTGCTGTCCGTGCTGGGGCTTGTTGTGTCTCAGGGCTCTCAGGTCAGTATGAGCTCACTATAACGCACAGAGTACGTGGCATCACACCACACCACACCACACCACACCACACCACACCACACCGCAATGCACCACACAGGAGCGCTGGTGTTCATCATCGCGGATGGCTTCATGGTGCTGTCTGTGCTTGGCCTCGTGGTGTCCAAGGGCTCTCAGGTGGGTGTGAGTTGACTGCTGAGGTACCAGGCTCCCAGGTTAGTGGGTGTGAGTTGCTCTTCAGGACTTTAAAGTGGAGTGAGTGGTCGCTCCCCTTCATCCTTCCCTTACCTTCCGCCTCCCCATCCCACCAACAGGTGGCTCAGAACATCACGACCAATGAGACGGCCAATGCTTATCCCTACACCTATCTTAGAGGTCTCATCTCAACCCTGCCGCCACATCTCCCCTCTTCTCCCCATTCCATTATCAGGTGGCTCAGAACATCACGATCAATGAGATGGCCAACGCCCATCGCTACGCCTACCTGAGAGGTCTCAACCCGACCGCCACTTCCCCCTCTTCCTCCCTCCTTCTCCATCCCCCTCCACCAACAGGTGGCTCAGAACATAACAACCAATGAAATGGCCAACGCTCATCACTACGCGTACCTGAGGGGCCCTGACGGGAAATACTTCAACCCATTCAACCACGGCTGCTATCTCAACTGCTGCTCGATCGCCCTCATGCCTTCTATGGTCCCTGCTCCTCCCATCCCCCTCCATTAACAGGTGGCCCAGAACATAACGACGAATGAAATGGCCAACGCTCATCGCTACGCGTACCTGAGGGGCCCCGACGGTAAATACTTCAACCCATTCAACCGCGGCTGCTACCAAAACTGCGCTGATTTCTGGACCACCGGGGAAACCACCGACACCGAAGGTTCCTGGAAGCCTCCTCCGCCGCCCGGCCCGTCAGGCGCGTTTTTCCGGCGGATTTTTGGGGTTGGGCGGCACGGGGAGAGAGGGGGCAGGTGCTGTGCTCATAACCATGGGCCGGTGGGGGCAGGAGGTGCTGGGGGAGGGAAGGATTGTGAGGGAGGAGGAGGATTGGGCGGTGGCGATCGTCCACACTCTCACTCACACTCACAATCGCACACCCAGACCAGCTCAAACTCCTCTCTCTCGTCGATGTTGAGTGTGGTAGCAGCACAGGGGCGGGCAAACCAACACACTGCCATCCCCATCAACACAGGAAGCAGCAGCAGCAACGGCAGCGGGAGCAGGGCGAGCGAGCTAGCTCATCTGCTCGGGAGCACCAGCAACGACAGCAGCAGGCCTCTAGGGTTAGGGTTAGGGTTACCTGGATTATCTGGTGCCGCTGCCTCTGCTGCTGCCTCTGGTACAGCTGCTGCTGCTGCTGCTGCTGCTGCTGCTGCTGCAGGTGTGGCACCCTCGAAATCCCCTGTCTTCATTTCAGCTGAGAGCTCTTCTATTTTCAGCAGCGGTCCTCCCAGTGGTGCTGGGGTGACTACTGGCATGGCAGGGCATGCGGGGAGGGGGCAGAGAGCGTCGGGGGGGCCTGTGGGGCTGGGAGGTATGGGGCTGGGTGCTAGGGTTGCGAGAGTGGCAGCAAGAGAATAGAGCTCTTCTATTTTCATCAGTGGTGCTCCCAGTGGTGCTGGGGTGACTACTGGCATGGCAGGGCATGCAGGGAGGGGGCAGAGAGCTTCTCCGGGGCCTGTGGGGCTGGGAGGTATGGGGCTGGGTGCCCGGGCTGCAAGGGTGGCGGCGAGAGAATAGGCGCAGGCAGGGAGTGGTGTGGCGTCGGCCGGGCCTGTGGGGCTGGGAGGCATGGGGCTGGGTGCTCGAGTTGCAAGGGTGGTGGCAAGAGAATAGACACGCCTAAGAAGCAGGGAGGGATGGGGCAGTGAGTGGCTTTTGGTCGGGCGGTTTTAAACAATTAAGCATTGTGTGCCTATTGGCTAAGGCACATGGGGCTTTCCCGCTGGGTGGTTGAGTTGCTGAGAGTTGTGTCGCAACTGAGAAGTACCGTAGACGTGAGGGTGGGTGAGCGATCTAGGGCAAGCTTTTTGGTGTGGCCAGAATCAAGATGCGGGACCAGGGTGCACAGGCCTGGGTGCCTGAGCTGCTCGACTGGGGACGAGAGGGTAGAGCACGTTCAGTCTGTTTCATTTATTTCAGTTCACTTTGATTCAGGCTGATGTACCGTCATCGCCCGGATATAAGACATATATGTCTTATCTCGTACACTAGAAAAAATGCTTGGGTTATCTTGTATTTGGGGAGGTTTTGGGTGTCTCATAAGTCTTTTACCGTAAATGGAAACTTTTTAAACTGGTACTTCGAATTTTTTTCACACATCTTGAAGAGAGTTTCTCATAATGAGTGTGGATGTTGCGAAGGTGCCACAGCCACTTCGTTCGGCAACCATTGTTCGGGAAGCCACGTCATGGAAAATGATTGCATAGGCAAATTTGGAAGAATTCGTGCATCGCAAGGGTAAAAATGTACGCGGTATTTCAAGTTTCACTATAATATATTGCAGTTTTGATTATACGACACATGTCTTATCTCGTACACACAAATAGGTGTCTTATAATGAGGCTAGCCTGTTTATAAGAGACACCCGGATAATAGACAACCCCTGTCTACTATTCAACAGTGTCTACTATCCGGGCGATGACGGTATGAGGCCCCTCTAAAATAGCTTTGCTTGCGTTATATTCATGGGGCCAAGAACATACATGCCAGTACTGTTTGAATTGGGTGATTACGGTAATATGACTGGATTATTAAGTCATAAGATGCATTGTCTTGTTGACTAAATAACATGCGAGACCAACTCCGTGCTATGCGGCTGCAATTGGGAGGTGCAAGGCACCAGAAGGATAACATAAATACAGGCTACCATTCTCAAAGAGCATGCACTGAGCATACAGGGGCAAACTGGAATGGCAACCCTCCCACTACCACCTGCTCTTGCCTCGTACCCCCACGTGAACTCCCCTGTATCCCCTGGAACCACACTCAACATCATTCCCAGCAGCAACCCTCGGCTGCCAACCTTCCAAAGCACCTATGAAGAGAACACGGATGTCCTGTCAACTCCTCCAGTGCCAGTAGCACCCCTCCCAACTCTCAACTGGCTAGTTTGAAGGTGACTATAAAGAGACGGTAGGTGAGTCCATCTTGAACACGTTCAGCACGGAGTGGAGATCAGCTTTGACAGCTGTTCCAATCCCAAACCTCAGCAGCGGCAGGAGCAGCGCCTCTCAACTGGCAAGCTTGAAGGCGTCTATAAAGAGACCGTAGGTGAACCCCATCTTGAACACGTTCAGCAGGGCGAGAGGATATGATATGAGGAGCTTTGACAGCTGACCCGACCCCAAAGCTGACTGATTCCACCTCCAGCAGCAGCAACGCTCTCAGCTGGCTAGTTTGAATGCGTCTATGAAGAGACCGTATGTGAATCCCATTTTGAACACGTTCAGCAGGGCGAGAGGAAACGACGGGCGTAACGTGGAGTAGTACGATCTGGTTACCACCTCCGTGAAAACCAGACATATCGCTGCCGCCGCCACGTCATTCACGCTCAGAGCGCCGAAGGAGAGAGAGATGGTTTGGGCGACGTAGAAACCGCCAAACAATGCGATGCCGCCGAACATGGCTCGGCGCAGCGGTCGGGCGGCAAAGTAACTGTTCACGCGCCGCTGGATTTCGAGAAGGATGTTTAACGGGCTGAGCCGAGGTAAGGAAGATGGTGGGAAGCTTCCAAACCCTTCAAACCCTGAACCCTCGTTTTCGCTCCCCCCTCCCCGCCCGCTTCCCATTCCGTTACCCCCTCCCCCTCCCGCTCCGCCCCCTCCCCCGCCACCTCCCCCGCCTCCTCCGCCGCTTCCTCCGCCTCCCGCTCCGCCTGAGCCCCGCCATTCGCCCTCAGTCCCGCTCCCGCGCTCTTCCCGCGTTTCCCTCCCTCCGCCATCGTCTGTTTCGTATCCGCTACGATCTCTCGCCCCGTTACGATCCCTCATTCCGCTGTTTCCCTTGCCCCCTCTTCCCCACCATTTGAATCCAGAGGTGACTCGAGTTGACACGTCACGGCTTGGTCTTACGCGTGGTGGTAAACCTGTGGTTCGCGGGACCGCTGCCGGCAACGAATATCGAGTCGGACTACAATGAGGAGATTCGGCTGCTGCGGGGGTGTTTCTTAAAAAAGCCGTTCCGTTATAAGCTGATGCGCTGCAATGTGCAGTGCGGTGTCTTGTACAGTGGACGACCGTACTGCTGCTGTTATCGATGAAGCCGTTTGGGGTGCAATTCGTTGCAGATAACGAGCCGGTGGACTGCAGGGAAGCGCAAACGCTATTAGCGCGTATGGGTAGATGAAGCCTGGGATTATGGCCCTGCGATGTCAAAACCCTGAATGATGACGTCATTTGGCCAGATCAGCGTCAACGGCTCACTGGTCAGCGGCGGTGACGCCTCAATTGGCAGATGATGGCAATGACAGGCAGATCAAATCTCGAAACACTCTACATGCCGAGGATAATCAACTAGTGCCCATTAAGCGTCATACTCGTGAACAGTCATGGGGACAACGGTCGCTGGTTCGCGAACGAGTGCGATCAGGTTCGGCTTCACTCGCCACAATACTATGCGCCTCCCACCTAGCGTCGGAAACTTAAAGTCAACTTTATTGTGAGCGAGGTAATTGATGGATTTCTAGCATCAAATTTGGACTACCGTACAATGGTTCGTAAATGACCAGTCCACTATGACAACAATGGCTACTATTCGAGACCAGAGGTAGACCAGTGGTGGTAGTCTTGCATGATCAGATGGTTCGACAATTTCGAGGCTGTGCGACGTACGAACACTCGCGAGCACTATTTTGTTTCCTGAGACGGCGCGCTGATTCGTCGTACCGTGTATTGCTCTCGCGGTCGAAGAAACTGGTTTCCACGTTACCATGACTTTGCAGCAGGAGCCACGTAAGCACATTGGCGGTTCTAGCTGTGAAGCCTGGATTGCGTGCTTCACGGGATGCATTCCCGCCACAAATCCACCATCCGCGATATAAAAACATCGAATAGTTTATCACCTCTTATATCCTAAGGAGCACATTTGATATTGGTTCCCCTAGAATACGGAAAATCACTTAGCTGCACCTGAATGTGGGCATCTCCATTCTTAGAAAGCGTATAAAACGTGGGGTTCGTAGTATGGAAACAATTATTGTCACCACCTGCATCATTCTCAACAAAGGTCATGATCTTACAATCAAACCACTAGTTCCAGCCCATGCTGCAGCCGCAGCATATGGCTTCCCACAAAAGTCAGTCATCTCTGATGACAAGGAGCCTATGTATCGGCTTTCGCAGAGCTTCAGTTTTGGTTGCAGGTGTCGATGTACTTGTGAAGAGCAGATGTGTTCAGGGCAGGGAATTGTGACGTCACAGACACGACAAGTTCTGCCAGCCTCCTAGTGGCTGCCTTGGAAGGGCCCTGTGGAATTTGGATAAGGTTGTAGAGTAGAAACATCACGGTTGAGTGCATGATGCTGCATCCGACGCATAACCGCGCATGCTTATTGGTGTGTTTTTGTTACTCGTGCCTCAATATTCAGCAGCGAAAAGTGTTTATTTCGTGCGCATACCTCAATATTGAGTGGCAAGACAGGGTCATGGAGAGACAGGCGGAGCAGGAACCATCCACCGAACCCAGACACCCGCGCCTGAGACACAAAGTCGCCAAACCAGAGCAGTGTGCAAGAAAAGGAATGCGACAGAGGAGACAAGCGTTCTGGCATGTAGCGGAATGCTGATGGACAAAGAAAGAAACTATTAAAAATGACTGGCAGCAGTACATTCAAACACTTAGAACACGATGTTGCTTTATTTTCCTTCTAACTAAAACCCCATGAAACGCCAATGAATGAAATGTCACTCACCAAAACCACCTTCTGGGTCATGCTATGAAGGAAACAAGAGGAGGCAAGAAAAGAAAGAAAAAAAATGCTCACGCCCTCATAATCGACAGGAGCCTTGGAAAGGGCAGCGTCACCCTCCACTGTGGCTGCGAGCGCTTCTAGAACCTTCTCCCCGTATGCACGGAACCCTCTGCAAAAGAGACAGAATGCAGGAAATGAGTGCAGTAGGAAGGGTTTTGGGCTTTAAACTGCTTGTTCATAAATATATTTACATATATATAAATATATATAATGAAGGCTAAAAAAAAAGAGGATTCCTGTTAGGCTTTCTGACGTCTCCGAAACAAAATGGCTCGCTTTACTCCAACTCACATGGGTGCCACGTCAGCATGATCCTGGTTGATTCGTAGTCGAACCTCCGTTGCCTCGTCAGCCTCCTGCAGGTCCTCTATCATGCGCGTCAGCACCGCGCTACCCTTTGCCTCTCCCTTGCCCGCTGCCGACGCCAGCTTAACAAGCAGCTTCACCTGTACAATGGGAAGGGATTGTCCTTAGGAGAAACATGACCCACCAAAGTACTATCAGGGTGACTGGTGAGTCGATGCTAAGGCGTTCTTAGGAGAAACACGGCAACATGACAACTATTGAGCCACCTCAAAACCCGACAACATGACACCAATGTACTATCAGGTGCCACCGGGACTAGTAATGGACATACCATAAGGTAGGTACCATTGTCCAGCCACAATATAACACACCACGTTGGCATCACATGTACCAACATCACAAGCACACATACCATGAGGTAAGCGCCATCATCAAGCCATCTGTTCTCCTTAAGGGCACCATGTCCGCTGGTCTCCATGGCAAGATGGCACTCCTCGCCCACCGAGTTCTGCCAAC